GAGTTGCAACCAGAGTCACGGAACGGATTAAATTCGTAACTCGAGGTTCCACTGTATATACTTGGAAAAAGATTCATTCTAAAGAAGAGAACATCCTTTTTTTTTTTTTAATTAAATACACATTCTGTAGCAAGCGTAATCTCTCACTACCTCTATACCCCTGCTGCAGAAGCGTACGCCTCTTTTATGATGGTGCTTGCAATTCAGACTGAAAAAGTAACAATTGCATTAAAATGATTTAATTTGAGAACACAATCTATAACTGACTGATTTACTGAATGGCATAACTCTATGGAATATATCTGGAAAGACAGAAAAGTGAAAACATTCAGCTTAGCATTTAGGAGAATTGTGGGGAGAAAAAGAGGAAAGTATGCAAAATGGGTGATTCAGTGGGCAATGGATTCTTGGTTTGTGGCAGATTTTAGGATTTTACTTTCTTCCTTTCTTCTGCTTTTTTGTGCTATTTTCCCACTCAGCTGCAATAGAACTCTCACATTAAAGGCTGTCTTCTCTTCAGAACATCTTGAGAATGTCAACCCTCCCCAACTAGTGTCTTCCAAATGCCTCTGATTTCAACACCCATTATGTCCAGCCAGAAAAACCTCTGGAGATTAGAAGAGCTGATGTTCAACACATTTGATGGACACCAAGTTGGGAAGGTGACCCAGACTCTCCTGGGGAAGGTGGAGTCAGAGGTTCACCAGCAAGGCTGCTGTGAGGAATATACTAGGTATCTGTTAGATAAAGCATCTGCTAAAAGTTGGACTCTTACCTTGAGGCAGGTCCCATGGAGGTAACTGAGACTCAGTCTGGCTTGGTTATCTGGGAGGAATTTCATCCTGTTAGTCCTTAGGAACTAACAGCGTTCTTAGAACTGTAAGTTTGGTCACCTGTATATTGACTCCTGTCCCTCCTGGTTAGCCAAAGCTTCCCAGGGGGTGACATCAGTTAGGACCTGGTGGTGGTGGTGATGAGGGGCTGGTCCTGCCAGTTCTGAAAGAGGCAGTGGTTTGCCTTCTCCTAAAGAAGCCATTGCTGAACCCAACCATGGTAGACAACTTCTGTCCTGTCTCCAACCTTCCCCTTTTAGGGAACATTGTTGAAAAGGTTGTTGTATGGCAGCTTTAGAAACTCTGGAGGAAGTAGATTATTTGGACCCCTTTCAGTCTGCTCATAGTCACCTCCAAGTAGATTATTGCAATGTGCTCTACATGGGGCTGCCCTTGAAGAGCATATAGAAGCTGCAGCTGGTACAGAATGTAGTGGCATGGGCAGTTCTGAATGTGCCTCAGTGTGTGCGTGTTACAATTTTGTTCACAAGCTGCACTGGCTTCCAGTATGCTTCCAGATGCAATTCAAGGTGATGGTTGTCACCTATAAAGCCCTTCATAGCACAGAGCCAGGTTATTTGCAGGACTGCCTCTCACCAGTTGTTTCTTCCTGTCCCATTTGATCCAACAGGAGAGCATGCTGCAGTCCTGTCAGTTGAAGAATGTTATCTTGTAGGACCCAGGAAATGGGCCCTTTCTATTGCTGTGTCTGCCCTTTGGAACACCGTTCTCCCCAAGATTAGATTGGCCCTGACTCTGCCAGCTTTTTGGAAGGTTCTCATGACATGGGTATGTTTGTGGGCACAAGGGTCAGATAGTTAGAGCATGTGATATAGTAGCTATCTGTCTAGCTTATTTGGCTCTTTGGCTGTGTTTATGCTTTATATTAACTGGTTTGTATGTTTTCCAATATTGTAAGCCATCCAGAGGGTTACTTTGAGATGGGCAGCTATATAAATTGGAGAAATAAATACAAAAAAATACATGTTGCAATGTGGTATAGTTTCACAGTATTTGTGTGGAACACAAAATGATGCCCCACTGACATGGGACATTTGGGAGTGAGAAATGGTGGCTCCAACAGATGGACATGAAAGAATTTCCTATGACAATGGTGGACTAGGATTTTTAAAAGACATCTGCCTCTACACTATATTGAACTTAGAGGTAAATTTTAACTGTTCCCAAAATAGTTGAAACCATATCCCCCAAGACTTGCGGTCTAAAAATTGGATACGGGCATTTTTCATAGAATTATAGAATTGAACAGGGCCATTTAAGCCTTTGCAAGTTGGATGGACTCAGTTGCAGTGGTGATGGGTACACTGTTGGATGACCTGAAGGACCAGATTAGGGACAGATCATCATGGAGAAAATCTATGTGGTCACTAAGAGGCGACAATGACTTGATGGCACATAATCAATCAATCAATCAATCAATCAATCAATCAATCAATCAATCAATCATTTTAAGCCATTAAATCAGACTCCCGGATGAGTGCAGGGTCTGCACTTTACAAAGAACTACTTTTAACACACAAAGCGCACATATTTTGTATTGTCTTGAGAATGAATCTGCAGTATCAGCTGCAGGCCCTGGTGACTCCCTTCCCTTGTTAAAGTTCAGGATAAAAAGCAGAAAGGAACCTTACTTGAGTCTTCCATCAAAATATGCTGGTGTTCCTAGAACAATTGTTTTAATGAAGAAAGGCTGGTTTGTATGATTTTCCTCGTAGCCACCAACAATGCTAAACCCCCAGCTTGCTAGATTGCTCCTTCGTAGCACAACATCATGGCAGCTATGCAGGCAGCTGTGAAAGAGTGAGGAGGAGTCGTAACACCGATTAAGCAAATCTGTTAGACCTCTAACAAGCCTACAAGAACACTCTTTCACACTTGGCTGTATATAATGTATTAATGATTTTTTAAAAAACCAAACAATAATTATTCAGTAAGATGCATTTCCAAAAATAAACTCTGCTTTCCCCTAAGTCTGGCACACCCATTAAATATCCGTGCAAAATATTAAGTCAACTGACCTTCTCATACCCAAACATGGGTCAATATTCTACGAGATCAAGAATGTTATCACTTAGATAGTAACTAGCCTTTGGAAGACCTTGGGAAAACTAACCTGAGGTCTTGAAGGGGGCAGATACATTTTAAACATAAAATGGCAAGTAATAAATATATGACAAATCACTTTTACAGCTCCTTTAAAAATGGACCTACTTTAACAGCCTGCTTCTTTGTTTTGTTGGGTTGGGTTTCCATAAGAAGCTATAGCTTAATCCTGATATTCTGAGAAAAATGTTAAGGAAAGTACTGTTCCACACATCACTCACATTTATAGAAACCTCATTAAAAATTATAATAATGCCTTCTGTTTTTAACACATTATACTAGAACAGCATGCAGAGGACTTGCAAAGAGCTTCCTAAAGGTTGATAGAAGACAGCTTGATTCTTCAAATCTGCTCAGAAAAAAATGCAGAATCTACAGTGAACAAGAGGATAAAATGTTAATCATACCTTGGAAGTCCTAACCACATAACCCAAGATGGTGACCAGCTAGCATCATATTCATTCTCGCTGATGGTGTTCGGCTGCTCGTCATTTGCCTGGGGCTGCTCTTCAGCAATCTGGACCTCTAGAGCTTTCAGAGCAACAACCGAGGAAGCAGCGCTGGCTTTGAGCATAGCTACAGCCTCACTGTGACTCAGATTGGTCAGATCAATGCCGTTAATATTCATCAACACATCACCTGGGTAAAAAACAAACAAGAGACCCTGTTGAGGTGATCTTCTTGTGCAAATGTATACCACTAAGTTGCTACTTTTTGTGCCTATCTGACAACAGGATGTTACCTATGTACCGGTAGGGGCAGGGGGCAGATAGTAGCTTACATTATGCTTGGCAGAACTGTAGTGTCTGTTATTTCTGGGCTTCCATGTCAGCAGCTCTTGTGAATCAGCATTTTCCAATCAGTCTAGCATGCTGTATAGCTATAGGGAAGGGACAGACCTCCTTCCCTTGATAATTGGGGCAGGAAGAGGTTTTTAAAGCATTTGTTTCTACTTAGGGGTGGGAGGCAAGGGGGCAAGTTAATATTGGTTCTTAGCTGATCCAGTTCTAAGTATTAGAAATCTGCCATTGTTTATGTCATGTAATGGTGGCCCAAACTGGTTAGCTGCTGAGACAGGGTTCCAATTACTTCACAAGATGCAAAGCAAGTATGCTTACACTGCAGTGCTGGTTGTTTTGTGATATACAGAGGATTCATCTCTATTCATGAATAGTTCTTGCTCTTTATCAGTGGGGAACAGGTTCACACTGTTCAATACTGGTTTTTTAGGGAGTTACCTTTAAAAGGAAGAAGGCTTACAGGTAGTCCTCACTTAATGACCATTCATTCAGTGACCATTCAAAGTTATGGCGGCACTGAACAAATGGAAGTGGTTGGCTGGGGAATTCTGGGAGCTGAAGTCTACACATGTTCATGTTGTCAAGGCTGAGTAACACTGCTCTAAGGTCATGCAACAATCCAGATTCAAAGGGGAAAAGATGACTGGGATTGTGTGCAGGCACACAGGTAACACCTGTGGGAACTCCTTAAAGTAGTACATCAGCTAAAGAAAGATAAACCGATTTTTGCCCACCTGTGCTTTACCTCATATGTAAAAGGGACATATTTGTAATACTGTGACTTTTCTTGCATAGAAATCACTGTAAAGCATTATATTTAAGGGCACATCCCAGTGAAAGTGAATAGACTGGGAAGGGTATGCAAAACATATGGAGCTTAGGCATCCATTTTAATCAGGCTTATTTATATAGTTATTTATTTCATTTATATGGCTGCCCATCTCTAATACATGATTCTGGGTAGCTAAAAATACAGTATAACGAAATTATACTCTGTGTGTGTGTGTGTGTGTGTGTGTGTGTGTATTAGTTAAGAAAAACCCAACCACCAACAATTAACAATGTTGCCCAAGAGAAGACTTCCCACCAACACACTGTCTCAATACTGCCTTCTGCTTTCACCTCTTTTGATCCTGCCATCTCTTGCCAGACATCCATGAGGTTGTACACTTGTAACAAATATTGGCAATTCCCCGCTTTTGCTGCCTCGACCTCCTGCTACTGTCATGCCAAGGGATTCATGGGGCTCCTTCTTCACTGTGATGTGCTTCTCTTGACAAGTCACACATTGTGAGAGGTCCTACAAAAAAAGGTAGGAATTCAGGGATACACTCAACTTAGGTTAGGTCTGAAAGAGGGATGTCCAAATTATTTGCACGTACAGACTCTGATGGGGAACAAATAGTAATGCAGAGTTTGCCAGCATCCATGGATTGGAGCTCAACAATTTTTAATATTTAAATATGCTTACAGAAAAGCATACATTATGGGAGATTGCATTTTAAAGTATATTTCATAGAATATTTCATATCTAAAGGCATACATTAAGGATAATTGTTTTCAAAACAGCATATATTAGAGTTAGTTGGCTGTACAACTGACAGTAGGGAAAGTACAGGTCGTCCTCGACTTATGATCACAAAATTTGTTCTTAAGCAGTGCACTCTTTAAGTGAGGCATCACATGACCGTGACCGATTTTACAGCCTTTTTTACTGTGGTCATTAAGCGAATCATCATGGTTGTTAAGTGAGACATCATGTGACTGTGACTTGCAACCTTCCCTGCCGGCTTTCCCATTGATTTTGCTTGTTGGGAGCTGGCTGGGAAGGTCACAAATGGCAATCACTTGACTGCAGGATGCTCCAACCGTTGAAAATGCGCGACGGTTGCTAAGTGCCCAAATAACGATCATGTGACTGTGGGGACACCGTGACAGTTGTAAGTTCAAGGACTGGTCATAAGTCACTTTTTTCAGTGCTGTTGTAACTTTGAACAGTCACTAAACAAATGGTCTGAAGTCGAGGACTGCCTGTATATCAATGCAAGTGGATTTCTTTAAAAAATGTTTTACAAGTAAATTAACGCCACAGTGATACTGACATGGATACGTTTTAGACAGATTTCTCATTTAAAAGCCTCATCTAGTGTTTTAAACGACACTGTCATTTTCTCCCCAAAAGATTCAGGAACTTAAGTGGCTCCCTGAACTTTCTTATAAATACAAAATATTGATACTCTCCCTGATCAACCTCTAAGATCTAAGATTCTTCTTTTTACCTGACTGGATTGTGTAACAATACAATATATCCTAATTTTTGGCGGGGAGGAGATGTGTATGTGCTTTGGGGGGGGGCTTAGGCTCATATCTTTTTGGATTTGAATGCACATTTTCAAGTTGAGGCAGCTGCTGAAATTGTACAATGAGAAGTGGCACACTCCAGTCTATTCTGCTGGGATATTTTCAGTGCATGCCTGTTTTTAGAGGACAATATTAATCATAAAGATTAACAGATGCCTGTGGGAATAGCTACGCTATCCAGTAGAGGGTGCATTTTTCCAACTTCCTGGGCACCTAATGACACAGTATGTCTAATCTTACTAAAAATGTATGGACATTGTCATTCTTTCAGCGATCAACATTGTAGAGGTAATTCTAACAATTTTCTCTGTTATTATTATTATTTTTCAATTTCCCAGTCCTGGGTTCATCCCATTTTAGTGTACAATTTTTAAAAGAGTACACATAAAAAGTTGTCCATGTCTTAGTATGCATTTCCCCTTAATATACATATTTTGTATATAATTTTGTTTAATACCTGCATTTTTTAAAAAAACCAAATCCCCTAATACATTATTTTTTTATACATTATTTTCATTAATATATTAAGTTTTGTGTGGACATTCCCCTCATATATGCATTTTGGTACCTAGTTTTTAACTGGAAAACTGTATTCACAAATTTTAGAAAAAAATGAACACGGAAGAATAACTGTATTTCAATTCATTTATTGGTTTGGGAAATGCAGACTAGGTAAATTTACATTAGAATATAAACTGAAATAATTTCTGGTCCATCCCCAAACTTACCTTATGTGGGCTTGGCCTGTTGCTATGATACAGCTGATAGGATTGATGATGACTGATGGGATGTGTTCCTCCATCTCTGAGAATGCTCACAATTTGGGACTTGGTAGGCCTAGAAATGGTTAGGCTCACCCTCTCACCACTGGCCTGCAGATGCACATGAAAAATGAATGGAGGATTGGGGTATAAACACCATTATGCTTCCACACCGGCTACCTCTGACAACAAAGAATAGTCAAAATATTCTGCTAGCCATGAAACAGCCATGCAGAGTATACTGTACATATGAAGGAAATCAACACTTTTCCTGAGGACTAATACTGGCCAAAGAATCAGACTCTATTTTCTCTACAGTTAATAAAACAAGCCATTTTCTGCCATGAGAGAGGACTAGTTCAGTCAGTTTGCCAGCATCTGATTTCACTACCATCAGCTCTAGGTGCTCAAACAGAGCTCTTGCTGGTTGCGATCTCAGAACTGAATTATTAGGGAGAAAAGGAAAAATGAAGTCAAACTATACCAAGTAAAATCTACTACTCCACTGAATCTAAACCCCAATGGCTGTGCAGAAGCCAAGGGCATGCTGGGATGTCCTTTCATGACTAGCCTCAATGACCTACAGGAAGCTGCTTGCAACAACTTTACCATGGAAACCAGCTTGTGGAAGAAAAAGGGGAAAGGTTGGGGAAAACAGTGCTATATAGTTAACAGGGCTGTGCAGTGCTTTGGTTACAAAAGAAAAAAGCAGCTCTCTTTTCTTGGGCACAATCCTGGGAAAACACACTTTTAAGGAGTTGCTGGCTGGTGCTACATGTATACCCACGTGCCCTCGGAAGCCCCTTTCCCCCTCTGAATCTGTAATGCCATGGAACCCTATGTATTAGTGTAGGAGAGATTGCCCAAGTACTGGTCCACTACATGGTGTATCATCATATTTATTTCAGTCATTGACCAATAAAAATACATACAATAAAACAGACAACAATATTACCCCTTTCATCAGTAACTATTAGCAACCATTTGCGGGCGAAGCTTACACATTATATAGCAACATTTTGCAACTTTTAAAGAAATAAATTTATT